TCTGGCTTGTCAGGTGCCAGTGCCGGGTGAGGGCTGGGGTGTGGTGTGGGGCCGTCCTCGGGCCACTAATGCAGGCTCCGAGCTGGGCCTCTTCCTGCCCCAAGTCTGCTTTCGTGCTCCCATGCCTGCAGCTAAAGAAGGAGTGTGAGAGCCTCAGGCAGAGCCAGGAAGAGGGGAAGCACCTGCAGAATTCTTTCAAACACGCTGTGGGGACATCGGTCGCTGGTCACCAGGGAAAGGAGAGCTGGGGGCCGAGCCACAAGGAAGCCACCATGGAGCTTCTCCGAGTGAAAGACCGGGCCATCGAGCTGGAACGGAACGTGAGTGGGCTGCCCCCGCCATAGTAGCTGAGAGAGAGCATGCTGCTAATGGTCCCCGGGGTAGAATGGTCCCCACTGGGACCATTCCTGTAAAGGACTCAGGATGTCAGAGATTTATCCAGATCTAGTGGACTCTCCTTGAGTTGTCCTGGCAGGTCCTGGAGCTGCTTTTCATTTGCGGCCCCTTCAGTGTTTCTAACGTCAAGGGGCAGATTCACGTTTTCCCATGGACTTGCAGTCGGCCTGTCCACTTAATTGGCATGCAGCTTATTTCTGTGGCGTTGCGTGTTTCCGTGCTCTGTACTGGGGGCTGACAAACCACGGCCCACCGCCTGCTTCTGCAAATAAGGTTTTGTTGGAACAGACATGCCCTTCGTTTATGAGTTGTGTGGGGCTGCTTTCCCAGCAATGGCAGGGCTCTGTGGTCGGAGCAGAGACCACATGGCTGGCACACCCAAAAATATTTACTCTCTGGCCCTTTACAGAAAAAAGTTTGCCAGTGCCTAGCTAAACCCCTGATTTTATTTGACTCTCCAAATAACTGTATTAAGTAGATAATGATGCAGAAGCTGAAACGGAGTTTAAGAGACGACCAAAGCCCCATGCTGGTTACGGTAACCATGTTACCTCGTAACCCACGTGTCCTGGCTCCTGGCCCAGGTGGTGGCATATTCTACAGGGTCTTTGTCAGCCTCATGAAACATGGACAGCCTTATTCTATGTACTGTCACTCTAAGGAGGGCGAGGCTGTGACCGCAGGCTTTGGCTTCCATCCTGTGCGAGCAGCACCCAGAAATCCACCTCCAGGTTTTCAACAGAAAACAAAAGCGTTACAGAGAAAAAGGGTGAAGCAGCTCTAACCCCTGCTCGCCTTTGCCTCACATGCACACGCTCAGGTTCTGTGCAGCAGCCTCATGTGTGTGCTTTTCTGTCTTGAAAGCACATACCCCCCAATGTAGTAGTTTGTGGTTTTTTTCCAATTTTGTGTGTTTTCCAAGAGGGAAAATGTTACTTTTCTCCCGTGGTGGACCCTGGCTTTGGCCCCCAAAGCGTCAACACTTGAGGGCTCCTTACAACTCAAGTACTGTTTCCCAAGCCGGCGTCTGATGGCCTTGTGCTTCCCACCCCTAGAACGCAGCTCTGCAGGCGGAGAAGCAGCTGCTCAAGGAACAGCTGCAGCACCTGGAGACCCAGAACGTGGCCTTCAGTAGTCAGATCCTGACACTGCAGAAACAGAGCGCCTTCCTGCAGGAGCACAACACGACGCTGCAGACCCAGACGGCCAAGCTGCAGGTGAGGAGGTCATGGCCAAGCTACAGGTGAGGTCACGGCCAAGCTTCAGGTGAGGTCACGGCCAAGCTGTAGGTGAGGAGGCCATGGCCAAGCTGCAGGTGAGGTCATGGCCAAGCTTCAGGGGAGGTCACAGCCAAGCTGTAGGTGAGGAGGTCATGGCCAAACTGCAGGTGAGGTCATGGCCAAGCTGCAGGTGAGGAGGTCATGGCCAAGCTTCAGGTGAGGAGGTCACGGCCAAGCTGCAGGTGAAGCNCAGTGCAGGCAGACGAGTGTGCCGGGGAGAGAGACAGAACACAAACATGGCCCCTAACCCCTGCTCCTGTAAGCGTGGGTTACGTGATGCCCAGGACCAGACGGCCCCAGAATGGCAGTGGTTCCCCACAGCAAGGCTTACTCCTCACACACAAGAGTCCAGGTTACTCTCCTGGGGCCCGTTCTCTGTGCCCTGACTCAGCAGCCCAGGCTCCGTTGATCTTATGGCTCCACCATCCTAACGTGAGGTTTGGGCGGTCGCTGTCACAGGGGAAAGGCAGCTGGAAGGTCACCCACCAGCTCTTCTGTGCTGCAGCCAGGAAGTGACCACATGTCAGTCCCACACACAGCCCCCTGGTCACAACTGGTCACCTGGCTTCACCCAGTGGCAGGGTGGCCGGGAAATTGGCAGGCAGCCAACTGCAGCGTTTGGTGAGCCCACTCTGTTGCACCGCTGCTCCGGGGCTTAGGATTTGGTGGGGGTGGGGGTGGGGGAGGGGAGTCGTCCTGCGTGCAAACAGCCGTGACACCAGCAGAAAATGGCAGCAGCCTGGAGAGCTATAGATGGGTGTGGAAGTGAATCGACACCACTTTTGAAAAGTAAATCAAGCCCAGGATTAAAAATTGAATCTTTCTCGTTTTCAAACTTTTTTTCCGCGTTCCAAATTCTCTGCAATGAGCATTTAGCTACATTGTTTCATAGAAAGGCAATCATGAGAATTCAAACCTGCTACCCAGAGGCCAACTTAATGGTGTTTCAAACACATGTTCGGGTGTGTTTGGAGCACATTAGATCCATCCTGATGAGTAGGGCTGGCCATCTACCATGTCAGGGGGCTGGAAAAGCATGTTCCTCCCTTCTATTTGGAAGACATCCCCGGGGTTCACCCGTCCCCATCAAACCACCTACTCAGCGCCCGCGACGCCTGAGTCAGCCACGACTTGGGAGGGAGGACAGTTGCTCAGCCGTGGGAAGGGCCTGCGCCCGGGCCTCCCGGCCGTTTCTGCTGGGCTCCCGTCCCACGCTCGTCCTCTCACTGTCCTTGTAGGACCTGGTGCTGGAGAAGCTGAAGAGCCAGCAGCTGAGCAGTGAGCTGGACAAGCTGAGCCAGGAGCTGGAGAAGATGGGCTTCCACAAGGAGCTGCTGCTGCAGGATGATGACGGCAGCAGTGACGTGTGAGGACCCCGCCCCTTGGTCTGCACGCCTGTACAGCTCACACCACGTCCCACGTGCTCCACGCCCTCAGCTGGAGCTCTGTTCACGCCTCTCAGCTGAGGGCCTGTTGTCCTTCACATGCCAGGTCTTCCTGGAGGCTCCCAAGGAGGAAAGGAAGGAAAATCTTTTGTCCAACAAAAAGGCTTCTTAATTTTTTAAAAATAGACTTTATTTTTTAGAGTAGTTTTAGGTTCACAGCAAAATTGAGAGCTAGGTACAGAGATTTCCCATATTCCCTCTNGGCGAGGAGAGGTGGGCTGGGAGGGAGGCTGCCCTCTGGGTGCCCGTGACCTTCCTCTCTACCCTGAGCTGGAAGTGCTAATCCTAGGCTAAGAGTTGATGGTCAAGGGTGTGGGAGGTCACCGCAGAAAAAGGCCTGGATGCTTTCCTTGGGAAAAGGCCTGTTCAAGTATTCCATGGGGCTGACGGGTTTTTAGTCTGTGGAACTGACTTTTGCGTGGGCTGTGTCTTTTGGCTGTGCAGATTGAAAAGTTACAGACCCAGCTGGAGAGAGAGAAGCAGAGCAACCAGGATTTGGAGACCCTCAGTGAGGAGCTGATCAAAGAGAAAGAACAGCTGCAGAGTGACATGGAGACCCTGAAGGCTGACAGAGCCAGGCAGGTAGGCACCTCCAGAGCAGATGCCGCTCCTGGACCCCTGCCTGCCAGAGCGAGAGTCCAGGATCATGGCCCCCTCCTGGTCATCTATCAGTGATACGTGGCTTACCGGTCACCTCGCTTAGCTGTAGCTCAAACCAGCCATCCTCAGCCAGCAGCAGGGGGACGGGGGGCAGATTTTGCCTCCCGGGGACACTGGCCCATCCTGTTTTTGATTGTCGTGACTTGGTGGAGGAGAGAGAAGGTGCTCCTGCCATGCGGTGGATGGAGCCAGGAATGCTGCTAAATGTCCTGCAATACACAGGGCAGCCCTGCAGGACAAAGGAGGACCCAGCTCCAGACGTCCGTGTCACTCTGAGAACTCTGGCAAACCTCCAGGGTTTATTCGCCTCGCGCTGCAAGGGTAGACAGCCCAGTGCTGGGGCCACGGCTCAGTGATGCCTTGCAGGAATCAGGCTTCTCTCTTGCTGCTCTGCCGGTCTTAGCAGTGGCTGCCGCACTTCCCCAAGGAACGGGCAGGAAGGAGGTGGAGGGCGAAGGGGCGGGCGGAAGGCCTCCCTAGGACTCTCTGTCAACATCTCATTGGCCAGGCCCGACACATGACTACCTCTAGCTGCAAGGGAGGCTGGGTATCGAGTATTTGGGTTTTTTAGCCTATCCAGTAGGACAGAAAGGGGGATGTGGGATAGTGCTATGGATGGTGAAAAGATAGGCAGGGTCCCCACCCAGATGTGGCTTACAGTCTAGAGGGCAGAATGACAAGTGACAAGCAAGGTGATTTCAGACGTGTGCTACTGAGGGAATAAATACGGTGCCCAGGGAGAGACTCCTGCCAGGTGCAGGGCATTTAGAGTTGTGATGCAGGACTCCTCCGAGGAGCTGCAGGATGACAAGGAGCCAGAGATGCTGAAGGCTGAGGGGTGGAGAGTGGTGAGTCTTCAAGGCAGAGGGACGGTCACGTGCAGTGTCTGCAGGGAGAGAGCGGCATAAGGGGAGGCCACAGAGGTAGGCGGCCAGCACATGGGGTCCTGCGCACCAGAATAAAAAGCACCGAGGGAAATCACTTCCATTGTTTTAGGTAAGAGGGGAGGGGTGATTTACGTTTCTGCATCGTCCTGGCTGCTATGAATGTGTTTTGACTTGAACTGTCTCAGTAGGGGATCTCCATGCCCTTCACCTTGGGTCCACGTCAGGCTTCTGAGAAATGTTAGGACTTCTTTTGGGTACCCAGTGGGACCCAGATCGCTGAGATATCTCCAAGCAGCCGCCTGTGACATTCCTGTTGTTGTTTTCTCTCAGATCAAGGATCTTGAGCAAGAAAAGGATCATCTCAACCAAGTCGTGTGGTCGCTGCGGGAGAGGTCGCAGGTCAGCAGCGAGGCCCGTGCAAAGGACATTGAGAAGGAGAACAAAACCCTCCACCAGACGGTGACGGAGACCAGCAGCAAGCTCAGCAAGCTGGAGTTCGAGAAGCAGCAGCTGCACCGGGACCTCGAGCAGGTGAAGGAGAAGGCGGAGCGGGTGGAGGAGCTAGAGAAGGAGCTGCACCGGCTGGAGAAAGAGAACGAGAAGCTGGCCACGAGGGTCAGCTCGCTGAAGGCGGCTGCCGAGAAGGTGGACGCCCTGGAGTGTGAGAGCCGGGGCCTGACGCTGGAGAACCGGAAGCTGAGGAAGTCGCTGGACACCCTGCAGAACGTGTCAGTGCAGCTCGAGGGGCTGGAGCGGGACAACAAGCAGCTGGACGAGGAGAACCTGGAGCTGCGCGGGATGGTGGAGACCATGCGCTTCACCAGCGCCAAGATGGCTCAGATCGAGAGGGAGAACCAGGAGCTGGAGCGGGAGAAAGAGGAGCTGAGGAAAAACGTGGAGCTGCTGAAGGCCCTGAGCAAGAAGTCAGAGCGCCTGGAGCTCAGCTACCAGAGCGTGAGCGCCGAGAACCTCCGGCTGCAGCAGACCCTGGAGAGCAGCGGCCAGAAGGCGCAGGCGCTAGAGCGCGAGCTCGGGGGGCTGGAGGCAGAAAACCGGGCCCTGCAGCGGGACCTGGAGGCCCTCCGGCTCACCAACCAGCAACTGGAGAGGGCCGAGAAGGACAAGAAGACCCTGGAGCAGGAGGCGGCCCAGCTGGAGAAAGACAGGAAGCTGCTGGAGAAGGAGGTCAAGCGGCTGTGGCAGCAGGTGGAGCTCAAGGACGCGGTCTTGGATGACAGCAACGCCAAGCTGTCCGCCGCCGAGAAGGAGAGCCGTGCTCTGGACAAGGAGCTGTCTCGCTGCAGGGACGCGGCCACCAAGCTGAAGGAGCTCGAGAAGGACAACAGGGACCTCACTAAGCAAGTCACCATGCACACAAGGACGCTGACGACCCTGAGAGAGGTGAGCTGGGGGCCGGTGGCCCCTCCAAGGGGGACTGGCGCGGTCGATGTTTGCCCAGAGCAGCACGGGCGTGTCGGCAGGGGTGTGCTTCCGGAATAGAAGGGAGACTGTGCCCGTCCTTAAATATTTTCCCTGATTCCAAACAGGATGCTGCCGGAAGGTGTGAAGAACCAAGTGAAAAT